ATTCGTCAGGTTATTTTTGAGTGTTATTCCATATCACAATAAACGGTCATTTATTAATGAAATGTGACCCGGCGTTCAACTCGGCTCGGAACTTTTGCTCTGATCACACGACGCGTGCCAGATGTTTGCTGTGAGCCTGCCACATATCGAGGCGCACCGCAGCTGTCAGCCAAGACTGCCTGCCGCAGTTGTTAGTGAAGTACAAGACTTGGTTGTTGTTGGTTCTAAAACTCGTTACACTCGGCACAACGATAGCAAATGAAGATCGCTTTTAAAACAGGGTTGCCTTTGTGCCTGTAGACACGAATAGGCAGCGTTTGAAAAAAATCGCTGCGAAACCTACTACGTCATTAACTGGATCCGGGTAATTGCATCCACTGAAACTGAACTTGATAAGGCCATACTGATTTAATTTTATGGATGACATCCTCTGATGACCCCAAAACTAATGCGAGAGGGCGAAAAAAAAAATCTTGCCAAAAAAAAAAAAAAAAAAATGCTGCTAAAACCACAGGACTACGGAGCTGTTATTACGAATTTAACCACAGTGTACCAAAAAAACAAGTCTTTATTTGTAGGAGGCACATGTTGATGTACACATCTCGTACTATATTGCTGTCACAGGTATCATCACCTTTGATTTTGAAAAGGCTAGAGGATAAGGCAGGTGTTAGCTTTGCCAAAGGCATGCACATCAACTCAATAATAAAGAAAAACTTACTGTGTTGTATTGAAAAAAAAAATAATTAAAAATGAACAATATGTTTGTCAACAGCAACCTGGAAATTAACTTCTTTTACATTCAAACTACAGATTTTAAAGTGACACTTCAGATAGACTAAGTGTAGACACAAATGCTCTAGAACTACTTCAACTATGTAACAAGAGGCTCGATATTGAAAAAAAAAACACCAACAGAGAGTCAAAAAAAATTTGGATGCAGAAAATTATGTACATGTATCTTGATGAAAATTTGTCATATGATCAAAATATTACTGACTGTGTGTGTAAGCAAATTATCAGAATCAGAAAATGAAAAAAAAAATTAATAAGAAACTTTTCTTTACCCCGAAAGGGGACTTCGGCCGAGGAGCTTCCGCTGCTTTTGTTGCATTTTTGTCGACTTCAATGCGGACAAAGCAACCGAACTGACTTGTCGCCTGACCAACTTTTAGGCCACCATACACCTCCACTTCTCTCCCATTTCTCTCATCGTTGCAGAAGAAACACGGGACAGCCACTACAATAGGACAATATGTCCTTAAAGTTGTCTGGGCAAAACTCGCTTGCCGCTACCAATCTCTCGTATAGCTGTGTGAACGTCACATCTCCCTGGCCAACGTCAATTGCGTACCAGTCTACAACAATCCCTCCGTTTTACCCCTTAACTTTTATGCTCGCGTATTTTGGTGGTGCGGTCGCCATGTTGGATCATTTATGACAAAATTGGCATGTTTTGTGACAATCTCCTTCCCATAGGTCTTTGCGCTTTACGTAACGCGCATCTAACTGTGCGGAGTTTGGTTTTGAGGTAGTCCAAAACGAGTTTTACGACAAGTCGGCGCTTTGCGACAATATGAGTCGGCAAGTTCCGGACAGAAAACCGTTGTGTGGAGACTTGTCGTCAAAGATTTTTTTTTTTTTTGAGAACAGGCGAAAACAAATGCGCGCGCGGATGTCATCCATAAAATTAAGTCGGTGTGGCCTAATGAACAACTTAAGATAGTATGTGTAATCTTAATGAATACTGAGATTAAAATACTATTATTATATGTATTTAAAATTAATATTGCAACTTTGACAAATATTTCAAAAAACACCGGACACAATAATCGTCAAGATAAAGTTCGTAACAAATACATATTGTGATTATTGTGATAAATGATTTTAACATTTGTAATTCAATAACACTTGTCATGAACTCGTTGTGGATCACTGATTTAAGGACATGTGCGGTTAATAATAAGAATGCGGTGGAAAATTCAATTAAACCAATGTATTTGGGTTTGGAGAACATCATATAATGTCTGGTCAGAAGAGGGTCACGATTTGTCATGCATGAGTCATGGGGAGAGTCATCATATTCCGTGCAATTTTTTGTTTGTTTGGAGGATCCTAAATTGTTATGCAAATAAAAAAAATCACCCGTTGTATTTCTATCCAGTCACTCAATACTCGGGTATCTTTATCGAAAACGAGATTAACAGATTACCATGGGATTAGTGGTTGACGATATTAGCAGATTACCGTGGGATTAGAGATTGGCTGTTTTATCAATCGTCATATCATTAATAATGGTAACAAATCCATACAAAATTGCATAAACTATAAAAACGTTCTGCACAATCTAGAACCACGTTGAAGAGGGCGCTATTAAAAACGCCTTGAAATGGTTTCAATTACGGCTGATATTAAGTGCATGAATGTAGCGCATGAACTTTTCGGATAAGACGATTCCATTTACAAATACTGTACCATAAATAAACGAGGTACTAGTAATATGTTACCCAGACTTTAGAAGCATAAGGTATAACAATACAATACCATGATAGTTTACTAGTATATATAATTCATACATACCTCTCCCACCCAAACTTATAAACTATGGTGTATACTTCATACCTATACTCTACCTCTCTCATTAAATCGTATACTTCATATGTACATCTCTCATGCAAATTGAAACACCATGACACATACTTCATAGATCTCCCATCCCAAAGTGGGTACTATAGGGTATACTTCATATATACATCTCCCATACCCAGGTATATATTATATGAGGTTATTATATCAGAGTGCATACTTTGCAGTATCCTTGTAATAACCTAATTATTATACATCTTTTCCTCCCAGGAATACATCATGGGAATGCTGAAATCTAAAACGTTTATAGCATATTTAGTGAACTCCTTTGTGTGGGTTCGGTAAAACCCTGGGGACAGTCATGTTTGCTTTTTATTATTAGAGGACGCTTACGCGCGTAATCGTTCCATATTTGGAATTCGCGTTTCCTTATATGGTAGGGTGAAAATACCCAGTGCAATACCGCAAAATTACGGCATGTTGTAACTTATGGCATTACGGTGACAGATGTATAATAACAGTGTATACTTAATTTTTACTTATTTCATTCTAATGAATATACTATATTGTCTATATCATATATACCTCTGGCATCCTAATGGATATACTGTGGTGTATACTTCATATTTACAATCTCCATGGATATAGTCTACCGTGAAGTGTTTCTATAAAAGCATGTATGCAAATATATGCAATAATCGGAAACAAAAATCGCCAATCTCTCAGACCCAGCTAAAATCACGTTAGGAAACCAGATTATAAACGTACCTCTAAAATAGTGAACAAATAACCAGTTCCTGTTAAACAATAAACAAATCAGTTGGAAGAGTTCTGCATTTGGGTTGAATCTGTCAACTCGAACAGGTTGCTGAGACAAATGGTGGAAGTCCACCAGCGTTGTTACATGGGAAACCACGTGATCAAGTAGCGAGACAAATGAGCGAGGCTATCAAGGCATCTACCGTCACAGGAGGCAATTCAGTCTTCAGACGACAAATAAATAATCAGTGTGACCAAACGGAGCCAGTAATCTGCATGTTGACATGTCACGTGATGTCAGATGACTTGGACCATGCAACCATATCCATTGAGTTAATATTTTGTTATCGTTGAGATTTATAAATATATTAATACGAACTGATTTTTCTGTAATTGTAATCAAATACCATATTAAAAATTGAAGTTGGACAACATATTTTATTTATTATAGTACTGTGTTTCACGTATGTGTATTTTTTTTATCGAAGGTGCTGTTCACTGCATCCTTGGCTGTTGATGAGTTGCACGTATTCAGCAAAGTTTACATGCTACGCAAAGTTGTAACAGTTGTCCATATCGACATTTTGCCAGTGTCAGAATCAATACTACCAATGGTACGTTACAGCTGTTGACCACCCTTAGTGATACAACTGGCACCAGTATGTTTGTAACAGCGCTCCTTCTGATAATTCCAATATCCATGAAGCGAGACTATCAAAACACATTAGTACATCCCTTACAATAACTTTGAAACATTACCAGTGCCAATTCGCCTGCGATAACCAAGACTCATGGGAATGCAGAAGCGAGGCCAATGGCAAACGGAGCTATGTGGTGAGAGAGCGCCGAGGAGGCCTTTTACAAGGCTTCATTGCCAACACTGAATACGGAAATGAAAACTGACTTCTCACGCTTTGATGTATGTTTCAGCGAGAGACAGTTTGTTTATTTCTATACCTCTGACAGATACAGATAGCGGCATTAGTGTCACGGCGATATGGGTAGATTCCAATATTACTAATACATATGGTTTGAGACATGATCTTTACCACTCCCGCTGTTGCAGTGTACTTCATGGGTGGGGGCAGAATACCAATATGTATAATATCACTAAAAAACAGAAGACTTAGAATACTTGCTACCATCACGCGATGTGACGGCGCGGGGTGCGGTGTGCATGGATAGTATAATGTCAAGTAATAACAGAGCTACGTTGTTATCGAACACTATATGTTAAGGAGCTAGTAGGATAAAGTCTATGTCGAGGAAATTCCCCCGTAGCGATGACTGTCTCATCATATCATGTATATAAAACCAATAATCACTAACAATTACTCAATAAACATACGAAAGTGCCTTATACTAACAATAATACGAACCGACCAATCAGGGCCAAGATGGCAGTGTGTGGTTCCTCCCACACGTTAATTCAATGCTGTACCACCAGAAGTTTTTTTAAAACCCCAAACTTGTCGATTAGTTTCACTCACCAACACCCAAACTCTTCCGTGCGTATTTCTCGCTGGCGTACACTCATTCAAGTTTAGGATTTGGTACTCAGGCAGACTGGTAGTGATATTATGTTGACTGGTGTGCACCACGGCCACGTCTCGGCATTTTCTCCAACTATGTTTCTTTCCCATCGACTGGACGCAATGCCCCGCGATATTCAGATCCAAGTGAAACAAGTGAGATCACACGGAGTAGCGGACATTTTGCAGAACCAGGAACAAGACAGGTTAGCTGTAGATGATCATCGATTAGCGGCGGCCACCCACTATGACCAACCAACCCTCAGCATATCCAGCGTTAAGTCTATACACCTTGGATTTGGAATTGACAAGATTCTTTCTGATGATGTCAAACCAAAAAACTCCGGACACAATATTCGTCAAGATATAGGTATTTACGGTTTTCGTCTCAGCTAATCTACAACAAATCATGTCTGTAAATCTTATTTTCCAATCTAAGCATATATGACATTTCAAATAGTTGCAAAGCGAGGTCGTATCTGACTGAAATGATGCTTAAATTTCAATCACAAATAATCTCTTTTACTTGAGTGTAAGTACTAATATTTCAGAATTTGTGAAATAATAATTACTTGCCCCAAAACAAGCCCCGTGTTCTTATTTTGAGGCGTATAATGAATTCTGGTAGAGTGGCCGGTATAAGATGGTTTAGTGGACACTTGACATCAATGTCAACATACTAATACTCCACACAAGAAGGTTTTCAGTTCGATCAATTGAATTTAACACATTTGTGTTTTAATGAAATACTTAGATGGAAAACGACTGCAGCTTTACAGTCAATCTTGTTTCATCCGAAGTTAATGATAGAAAATCAAAAAAAAAAATATTTTAAACCATTGGTAGAGAATTTAGCAATACATAACGAGTGTTTTAAATCTATCTACACAGAAAACATGATCAATAAAGGAGGAGACAATTCTTTAATTAAATACCAACATATTTGTAAAAACCAAAAGTATGCGTGTTTTGTGTTTCAGATGTTGCTGAAAACGAATCGGAGAACGATCATTCACGGACAATTTGTCAGCCCAATATTATGTACCCGTCTACAGCCTCCCAACCATCTGTAATGTACACAACAAATCATCTGGTGTATTCACACAATATAGAATCGTCTTCTCATTATCATCATCTTTATGGTCAGGACTGCCACAATCCTTACAGTTACCAAGGTAATATTAGTAGATATCATTCAGCTTGCGAGGATTTGTGTCCAAACAAAAAGTTCAAAATCACATCATCATTGGACGTAAAGTTTTCTTGGACTTTGACTATTTTTGTGAATGTTTCCTGTGAAAGTTGGTACACAGTGAGCCACTGTTAAACTTCACTTACATTGTCACACCGGATTTTATAGTGAATGGAGAAATGATTTGTCTTGAAGTGAATTCAGAGAAACAATGAGCGTAAATTGTATATGGCGATGGGGGCGTATGCTATGTGCGTACTGTAACTTGACTGATTTTTACTCGCTTACTTCTCGGAATTGTTAGTTTAAAAGCCAATTAGTTTGGCTAAACAGGTAACTTCGTCTTTCCGATAGCTACGAGAAGCCAGGGTGGGAACATTTTGTTGCGGTCAGTGGGCCATCTGATTTCGCAAATGCACTGGCACAAATGCCAATTTCTGTATTATGTGGCCTACAGTTTAAAAAGGACCACGAGTTAGTTCTTATTTCTAATTAAACAGACGATCTGTATGGTGAATACACCTGCACAATTTAGTCGTGGGAAGACGTTGGTGTGGCTACAGTGTGTTGGTATAAGGCATACAAGCGGCCACGCAGTACGCTTTAGCCAAACATACACACACCTGGACGTACCCGATATCAATCAACGCATAGCATGCTTACGGACTTTTATTGACTTTGTACAGTTAGAATGTTGATTTTAGATCTCAAATCCCCATGAAATCCAATAAAACCAACCTAGCCACACTTGATAGTTCGTAAAACGAAAACTCAATCGTTTGTCAGGCGACTTTAGGAAGGTTTCAGTTTGAAACATTGAAAGTTGTAACCCATAAGGTAATTGGGGTTTCATCACTACTACTGTACAGATATACCAACGTATTCTCATTTCTAAGATAGAGCAGACTTATTTTCCGTTTTGATATCCGTTACGTGGTTTATATAATAGTAATTAACGATTGTCATATAATTGATACGACGCCACTATTGATACATGATCTGTCACAGAATGTGACGTGAGTGAGGGTCAGTTTGACTACGGACGTCAATGGTCAAACTATTAAACGCTCACTTTTAAAAGCCGGATGTGGGTAACGTTAAGTCCATAGTCACTGTATAACTTGACAGACACAGTCATATGTAGATTTATTTTATTCGATTTTTTTGGGAATGAATACAATTTTGATTTATTATACATATATTGACTTTATTCATAAGTTCGTTATTTTTCTTTCAAAAATGTTACCACTCATACGGGTTTTAGTGTCCTCGGTCCTCTAACCAAATCACAGCTCCTGTTCTATAAAAAGAAATCGCCATTCTTTGAATAGTTTCTTCCCGAGAATGAGGTACAAGATTAATAGTTTGTTGATTTTTGAACAAACTCTGGATAACTTCTCGTTTAGTGATGTATACACCAGTACTCAATCAAAGTAACCATCTTGTAATATCCCATCGGTGAAGCGTTTTTAACCGTATTTCTTATGATATCAATCTCATCAACGACGTGACGTCATTTCTTATATAATCCCTTGTCGAGGTGGATAACCGTATTTTTTATGATATCAACCTCGATCGACGAGATGACGTCATTTCTTATACAATCCCTTGTCGAAGTCGTTTAACCGTATTTTTTTATGATATCCACCTCGGTCGACGAGGTGACGTCATTTCTAAAATCAGACTATCATGATCGTGTTCACGTCTGTTTGTCGCGCTCCCTTACGATAACTTAACTTACGTCGCGCAACGGCGTAGAAAAACACGGTTGACCCCTTTGAAGCGGTATCAGCACCGGGAAAGCTATTATGTAATAGTTACGTCGGCGTAAAACAGTTGAGAACACGTTACACTGGCGCAAAGGGGTCTAAATATGGAGAAGGCAACACCGGCGACCATTCATGATAGTAGGTATTGTATTGACATTCTAAACTGAATTTGATTTCCACGGTCAAATGCATTTAAGTTCATTTTTTTTCAAATTAAGAAGGCTGACAATGCGTGTCAAATTTTAAGGCAGTTTAGGTTGTTGTATTGACTGCATACGTTGTTAAACTCGAAAATATGCCGATTGGTTGTATCCAGTGGCGGATCCAGAGGGGGCAGG